ACAACCTCCTCGCGTAGGAACGGATCTGCCGCTATCCTAGTATTCCCCCTCAATGTGCTTCCCAGCCTCTCTTTCTTGTCCAACTTGACCGTGCTAGACCTCGACGTAGAAGTAGATTTAGATGGAAGATTACCATCCGTCCTTCCACTGAACATGGGTTTGTTCGAGCTCAGCACCTCCTCCTGCTGTCCGAACTCAATGTATTTCGCCCTCTCACCATCCTCTTCCGTCCCAGCCAACATCTCGAGCCCTAATCCGAATTTCTCCTTGAGGGCCTCCCCCGTCTTCTCATCCGCATGTCTCTGTCGCCTGCCCACACGAAATCCCCTCCTCAACTTCCTACTCACTTCATATGGATCGCTCCAATCCCGTTCACTCACGCCCAACAACTGTTCAACCCTCTCCTTCTCCCTCTCCGCCTTACTTTTCTCCTCAACTTTCTTCTCCAGCGCCCCAAAAGCACCATCCTTCTCTAGGCGAGCCTTCTCCTCCTCGCTTACACCAATCCTGACCTCCCCCTCAAGAACCTTATCAAGGCCCAGATCTCGCCGTCTCCCGCCCTCAGTAACCATATACTCCGCGCTCTTCGGATCCGTGCGCACCTCAATCCACCCGCCACACACAGTATGCTTGAACCGAAAGCTCCAGATCGGACTACTAAAGTAATTCCCCACCTTTTTCTTCTCGGCATTGAAACGCACGCCCTGCCCGATGATTTGCTCCGGAGTGCAGGTTGTGCACCAGATGGCGAACGGGCATTCAAACCGCACGGTGAGGATACCTTCGGACTTTAGTTTGCGCGCGCGGGAGCCCAGCGCGTGGCCTTTTCCCGAGGCGGTGTTGGAGGAGACGAGGCCTTCGAGGTCCGGTGGGACGTAGCGGCCCATGTTGAAGCCTTGCATTTTGAGGGTGTGGGCGGCGGGGCCGCAGTATTGTTAGGTGTTGAGGACTGGTGTTAGAGTGTCAATCAGGTTCGGAGTTTGTTGTGAGACCTCGTAAAGAAAGTGCTCTTAGACACATCCTCGAGGACAATTCGAAGTGCGGAGAGTATGAAAAAGGGGAGAAGTGATCGTATATGTGCGGTTGTCGCAAGGTACAAAAGGTTCAAGTGCGGCAGAAAGTCGAGATCGAGAATTTGTGACTAAGCGGTAGCCTTGCACAGCCTTGTTCAAACAGCTCCTCCTGCAATATATCAAGCACAGGTACACTATCAATCTATCTCTCCAAGACTATTCAACAACCATTCTGGCTCAGCATCGTCTTCATCCGGGTCATGCGAGAGAAGGGACCCTGGTGTATGCGTGGATGCAGGACTCTCTCCGTTCACACTGCCCAAGGTGGGTGTGAGGGCACGTCCTTCTGGCTTCAGCTCTCTCTGGACAGGTGTAGACTGAGGCACTTCTTCCCTCTGATCTGTTCTGGAGGGATTTCTGGATGGGTCTTCGTCAACCTCCACAGAACCCTTGTCCACTGCGCGGAAATTGTGGCCCTTATCTCTGGCTGCTAGAGATGCGGCCGCATTGTCCGCAGCTTCTTCGGTTGCTGGCTCGTTGTTTGTCTCGGCCAAGAAAACGCCTCCTGTAACATCTTCGTCTTCGGGAAGGAACCCTCCACCTTTTTGATCCTCGTCTTCGAGGAGGAAACCGCCTCCTTCTTCACTGGCTGTCCCGGCCATAGCAGTAGTAGGCTGCTTGGGTACCTCGCTCATGGAGCGGTCTCCGTCGTCGGGCAGAAAGCCTCCTTCTCCTGTCTCTTCCTCGAGAAGAGAACCTCCACTCTCAGCCGTGACTACCTCGGGTTCGTGAACTTGAGGCTTAGGTAGGTCCTCAGTTGGTGAGTATGGAAGCTTGTTGGGTGATTGGACAATGATGACGGCTTGATGAACCACTTCCGGAGGGAGCTCCAAAGGCCTCAAGTCCGGTACTCTTGAGGGCATCGGCACGGTAGGAGACTCGTCATCACTCTCGATGGGCCCACCGCCTTCGAGCATGAATCCGCCCCCGTCGTCCTCCGGTCGATACGTTTCGTCTTCGTCGCTGGCATCGCTGTCCACTTCTCTAGCCTTGCCCTTTACGTCTTCCTCTCTGTCGCCGTACTGTTGTCGTACATGTTCTTTGATTCGAAGTGCCGTAAGCCACCGTTTCCATGTCGCTAGGACGATTCTACTTCTCGCCTCGTGTGCTTCGTTGCTGGCTTGGGACTCCAGGCCTTCAATGACAGTTATCATAGCATGTGTCATGTTCATGCTTACAACAACGCCATCTACAACAGCTGTACCTTGGCGACCCTTGAATTGGAAGCCTGTAACAGCCTCCACATAGTCGATGCCGAGAATGCGCGCTGCTTGTACTGCAAGAGGGTGTCGAACATGAACTGCACCGGCTGGGATCATTGAAGGAACGTAGACATCGAGGTTGCCGTACCCATTTCGTGGTACCTTTCCGTTGATGGCTGGTGGCGGTTCGTACAGGCTCGTCTGGAACTCCGCGTAAAGAGCTGTACCATCAGCGGCTTCCTCGTCGTCATCAAAGTCATCAGCGACCGGCGTTCGTTTTCTCTTCGGTACTGCTCGTTTGAGCGGTTGCTCCCCTTCCTTGACATCGCGTCCACGCCGGTACCATGCATCGGCAGTTCGGCAAACGTGCACGTCACGCCTGCGAAAGACGCTTACGATTCTTGCATTCTTGCCAAATCCAATAGTTACTTTCCCGGATTCGCGCCTTGGATGAATGACTTCGTTTTTGCGTAGATGCCGCTCCAAGACGTAGACCGAGTGACCACGGAAATCCTCGATGTTATTAGGCATAGGCTCGCTTTCAGCCCGCTTTTGCAAGAAGACATCCTCAATGTCATCTCGTGCTTCTCGGAAAGGCTTTTCGAGTACAGCCATGGTCTTCTCCCACCATTTCTCGCCTCCCGGACTGCTTTCAACCCGCTGTTTGCGCACCTTGGAATTATAGAACTGGGTGTATCGTTTTGTTACATCCTTTACAGCGCCATCATCCTCGAGGGCAATGACATAAGTCAGTCTGTTGTAATTGTCGTTGCCATGCGGCTCAAACCCCGTCTTCGGCTTGTTGATCGTACGGCGAACGACGGGATCCAACGGTATCCATGTCTGTATGGCCGGAGAGAAGACCTCGACCCAGAAGATCGGAAATGGTGATTGTTCGAAGACTTTCCGCTTACGCGAATCCGTGCTAGAAGCTGAACCATAGTCTTGAGGAGGCGCATGGATGTACTCTGCTTTCGGCTTCTGGGGTGTTTGACCTTTGGCGACGCTTGAGAAAGGAAGGGCCTGCAGAGAACATACCAATCGGACATCAAGTGCTACTGAGCGAAGTAGGGCACAGAACAGCTGGGCCGATAAATCCCTTGAGCCTTGCTTTGAGACTGCTGCAGCTTTGAAATCATCGAAATCGAGATCTTCAGCATCGTCGCTTTCCTTGATCGCATCGACGTCGTCTCTCCAGTAGGCACGTCGCATTCCCTGGCCGCTGATGGTCCATTGTTCGTCCCAGATAGCAGAAACTTCCTCAATTCCCTTCATGAAAGACTGATTGCGCTCATATTGAGGTTTGCGCTCATCCACATGAAGCAGATTTGTGATCCTTCGCGAGACAAGCGGCTTCAGAATAGCTTGTATCGACTCGCTGTTGCACCATTGGTTCCGACATTTGAGGTGTGCTAACAGCATAACGATGTGTGCCCTATGGACATCCATCCGGAGCTTTCTCTCTGCAGCGGTGACAGCTTTTCGTTTTGGGACAACACTTTTCGTCGTGGTGGCTTTCGAAAGATTCAGCTCGAGAGGCTTCTGCTCAGGCTGTTCGTCGTAGTCGACCTCTTCGGCAGTAGGTTCAAGGTCGACATCCTCAAATTCCGCTTCTGACTCAGTGGCGGTGTCGAATTCTGTGAGGGTAATCTGCTGGAGATTTTGAGGATTCGCCTCGGTAGATGCAGAATCTCCGACATCTGCTGGCCCACCAAAGAGATCGATGTCAAGTTCGATCTTGCTAGACGGCTCCTCACTTAGCTTCCGTCGCTTTGAAGAGCGCGTCTTCGCAGCAGTCTCCTCTTCGGCGAGAGCTTCAGCCAGCATTTCTTGATAAACGCCAGGGATTTCATCATCCGGGTCTGCGCGTCGCTGGGCCGCTGGGCGTTTTGCTGGCTTCGACTTGGAGTTGGAAGCCTTTTCCTCCTCCGCTGCCTCAGCGAGCATCTCCTGGTGCACTTTCGAGATTCCATCGTCTGATTTCTCTCGCTGACGTGCAGACTGGCGCGTCGCTCGAGGCGATGACCTTCCTGGCTGCTTTCTCTTGGGCGGCATCGAGTTCGTTCAGGTCATATGTCAATTGCACGAAGGACAATTTAGCGTGTCGTGCCGTGCCTTAAATCAAACCAGGAATGGCGGTAGACGAGGTCAGTGAAGCGAACAACAAATTGAACTATAGACCTCTTTGCTTCAATGAGCACTGGTCAAGAAACCGAAATAAGTCGTGCGCCGAGTGGAGTGAACGGCTAATCTTAATGTTAGATCGCGTTGCGCAGGACGGATCTTGTTCACAGTCTCGAAACATAAGATGGTCGTTCTTCTCGACATGCCGTCTGCACAAAGAGATGCTGTAGCCTGATGAGGTCAGAGTCTCGGCCGATTCCAAACAACGATTCGAGCAGGTGCCGTAAGACAGGCAGTGGCCATTTCTAAAAGTGAGATGCACGCTCTCAAATTAGACTGCTGTTAGATTCCGCGACGGCTGTCCTCCGTGATGTAGTGACTGTGATTCTGCGAAGGCAAGGTGTAACGCGACGAGTCGCCGAAGCCTTAACGTGAGAATGACGTCGGAGGTGAAAAACACGTGATCCTCCGCAGGGGTTTTGTTCCCCTTCACACAAAATCTCATCTCTCGGGCTCAAATAAAACCATCAACGTGCCTGTATCATCAATCACAGCAATAAAAAGAGACCTAATATCCGCATTCAGGGATGTAGGGGCGTTCGGGCTGAACTGGGAATTGAACCCAGGACCTCTTACAATTTGTGTTTAGAACCCAAAGCAAGAATTATACCACTAAACCATTCCTACAGAAATCATTAGAAAATGTGTGATGCTGGGATGAGGTGTGTGTGACACTTACAGCCTAGAATCTTGCTTATTTTTCGCCACTACAATTTATATTGTTTATATATTTTTCTGGTGGGTCAGGCGAAGCTCCGGTTAAAGTTGCCCTCAACTTTCACTGGGCAAGTTGCGGCGAAATCTTCAAGAAATCTTTAGATGTTCGAAAAGTCCTGCACGCCTTCAGTTCTGCCACAGTTCAGCGGTCCAACTCTTGCTTTCTGTCACCACATCTCGAGCCTTGGGTGTAATCATGGGAACCCTGAAGGACCGCGCAGCAGTCTTGGAGCGCAATAAGGTCAAGGGTAGGCGGTCGCCGATATGTGCTTTGTTTCGTATGCTTTCTTCTAACACGATGTTACAGATATCGACCCTGAGGATGATGCATACCTACGGTCAGCAAATAGCGACGACTCCGGATCTGAGGAGGACATAGTCGAAGACGCAGGTCGAGAACACTACGAGTCAGTGGGCAAGAGCAGGCTGCGAGAACCAGAGCAGCCAAGCCTCGGCGCAAAGTATGGCGGTGTGGCAGTGACTCGTGCAGCATTGGAAGAGGACGATGATGATCCGTTTGCGCCGGTCGACGAAGATGACGAAGACGACCCTTTTGCTGCGAAGCATCAAGATACTTTTGACTCCGAGGAGGATTTCGATGAAGACAAAGGCGAAGCCTTGACTCAAGATGTGGACGATGATGAAGAGATCGACAGCGATGAGGCATTGGGTGAAAGCGATGTGGAACGCTTCAGGCACATGAAATTCAGAGGAAGCAAAAAGACCCGACCGCAGACCGCAGATTCAGAGGACGAGGAACTGTCAGACGCGGATGTAGGGAACGGATTATCCGATGAATCTGATAACGAGAACGAGTCTACTGAGGCTTCAGACGTTGACATGGATGATTTCGACGAAGATCTGGACGAAATCTCATCTATATCGTCGACGGGTACGCCATCGCAAGCAGAGGAATCTACAAGAACCACAGAGCGCAGCAGACTCAGAACAGCTGCTGTGTCTGCATCGACAACAGGAGTGTCTGCTCCACGACCTGAGACTGCTGCACGCAATGCAGATCGTGCAGAACTCAGAAGAGCAGCTGAGTCCGCCTCGACAGCTGGCTTGGCGTCCGCTCTCTCAGCTGGTGCCAACGCTGATGTGAAGAAAGGCCAGGCGGTGAGACTGCAACGGCAAACCTTCGATCGCCTCCTCGATGCACGAATAAAGCTGCAGAAAGGCATCGCTGCGATGAACGAGTTATCTACAGAACCAATCGAAGATGAGGAGATCAAGAACGCAGCAAGATCAGCTGAAGATGCTGCACTGGCACTCTGGTCAACAATCGATTCCATCCGCTGTAGCATCGCCTCCGCTCAAGAAAGCACTTCCAAGGGCAGCAAGCCAAAGCGAAAACGCCCTCTCAATCCAATACGCTCGACCACCTTGACCGAGATCTGGGAGTACTCCTCCTCCATGGAATCGCAAGCTAAACCACACCGTGATGACGTTCTCGACAAGTGGCACACGAAAACCCAGCCCATCCTCGATACCGCCCAAAAACGGTCGAATCTTCTCAAGCCAGCACGAAGCCCCAGTTCACGCATCTCCGATGTGTTAGACACCTACCTGAGCTCTGAATCAGCAAGTCTTACGTCTCAGTCCTACTCTTCCTCTAGCCATGCTTTTGACGATTCCACATTTTACCAGGCCCTCCTGCGCGATCTGCTATCGTCTCGCACTGCAGCCGACTCCAGTGGCGCTCTGGCCCAACCGTCGGCCCTGCCTCAAAAGCTGCATATCAGCGGCAGTAAACATAAAAAGGTGGACACAAAAGCTAGCAAAGGCCGCAAGATCAGGTACACAGTACATGAAAAGTTGCAGAATTTCATGGCATCCGAGGATCGAAATACGTGGACAAACGCGGCCAGAGCCGAGTTCTTTGGCAGTTTACTCGGGAATGTAGATGCTTTGGCAGAGACGGAGGTCGATGGAGTTGATGAAGATGTTGAGGAAGGAGTGGCATTGAAGCTGTTTAGGAGTTGATAATACAACTGATACCTACCACAGTCCATGATTGACTCTGCTCTTGCGGTCTTGTGTGAATGCCGCGGTTGCGTCGCGGTTTTGGACGCGTTGTTTGGTATGACATCATAATTCATTCATTCAGAGAATCTATCCGAGCCTCCCTTGCTCTGCTCCTCCCCGAACTTCTCATAGTTAGGGTCGAGAGTGCCCATGATGTCTGAACTAAAACCACCATGGCCAATTACCAGTTCTAAACGAAAAGCCATACCGAAACCCACCGCGACTGCTGCTCGGAAACGACAACGCGTCAGCAACGGAGAAGGCACCACCAACGCTCGCCGAAAAAGTCAACAGACCTTGACTCAAGCTCAATGGGTCACCACATTTCCTCCAGATTTTGACGAAAGCGAGATGCGACTTCTTGAGGAAGAGCGGCCGCAGAGTGCCCCGCCGAAAAGGAGGCCACAACGAAGCCTGAAGAAACGCGTGTCTACTTTGACTCAGATGGATTTCTTCGACCTCGGACAACAGAACGAACAGGGTATCGACGATGCAATGATTCCAGATGCTCCAACCCTCGCGCGACCTCCAGCCCTACCGCAACTCGATGGTCCTTATGACAGTCCCAGAAAACCTCGAAGGCGTAAAGCAACTCCTGCCGCAGCCGAGTTTTCAACGAAACGAAAGATCGCAGCAGAGAGCCAAGAGGACTACAAGCCGGGAACGAGGAAAAGGAAGAGCGAAGTTGTTGAGGGTCAAGCAAATGGATCTGCGAAGAGGAAGTCCAGCCGTATAGCATCGAAGAGCGAGATCTTCTGCGATCCTGTCCGAAATTTTGACTATTTCGCGGAGGCGTTGGGCACACCTGTAGAGGATGTCAACAACGAAACTACGGAGACCCCCTTCAACTATCCGCTTGAGATCAAGGACTCGACAGAAGACAACAATGACACTCTGCCAAAGCTGCCTCCGACTACCAATAAGTCCTTGTTCCCTCGGACTCCGAAAAGACACGCCACAATTGTTCTGTCAAGTCAATCCCCAGAGAGTCTACGCGCCAGCACGCGAAGGACGAACAGGAGGCTGTATGAAACTCCGACGAAATCTCAGAGAACTCCTCTGGCCGAACGTTCAACAAATGTCTCGATGCAAACTACCCCTAAAACAAATGGGAAGCGGCGCCCTACTACAAAGCCTCGATCGCCCAAGAGCAAGGTTGTCATTCTCAAGCTGCCTAGGCGTACCGGGAATCGACGTCCTGCTCGCATCGAAGACTCCCAGAATCTTTGGTCGATACCATCGTCTTCGCCCGAAGCGTTTAGAAAGGCTCCTCAAGCTCAAATGAATCCCCCTGCACGCGCCACAGACGACCTTGAGATTCCAGCTACAAGCCAAGCACAGAATAGTTCCGGAACTCCTCCTGGCAGTGAAGACAGTCTACCAAGCCTAAGCGAGCTGTTCTCTGCGGGTGAGCGTCGTGAAGTTACATCTGATGCACCCTGTGGCCCTGCACAAGAGGATGAAGCCGTCGTTGTCCGAGACTTCGCCGCCGTTAGTCCTGAGAGAGATTGTACATTAGACTCACCTCATTTCGAGCGTACAAAGATGCTACAACGCCCTCCGGCAGAACGAGTATTGTCGCCGGAAAGGGCTACGGAGGCTTATGGGGATTTCGCGGACTTGGATTTTGGATCGCCAGTTGCGAATGATACACAATTCAATGTACAAGTGCAGCACCGCGTGTCTTCTCCTCTGCCGTCAGAGCGGGCCCCGAAGGGCTCAGGAACACCAGCCGACCACACATCCCCGTCCACGCCAGCTCATCGAGTCCCAGATGATGCAGGGCCGCAAGGAGCGGAAACAAATCTCCCGGACATCGAAAGGGTACAGTCTTCCCAGTCACCTATGCCAGTCCCCCGACTTGTCTCACGCTCAAGCGTTGACCCTGCGAAACAGGACATGAGTCTAGGTGAGGATGACATCGACGATTTCCCTCTGCCAGAGGTCGTCTTCGTTCACCCAGGCAGCATTCGCCGCACAACAAGCACGCAGGTACCACTGAATGATGTTTCCTCCAGTTCGTCTTCACCCAGATTGAGACCAGTTCGAACCAATACACAGAAGTCTGTACACCCGGCCTCAATGCCACATCCTTCCCAGATGTCGACCCAGGAGCCCACTCAAGCTTTCCTACCGCCCTCATCAATCCCACAGAATGGGCAAGATGAACTTTCGGAAAGGCACGAGACGATTAAGATCAAAGACTCCAGCTCCTTATCTGTCGCTTTAAGCCAGATACCTGGTCATGTCGGGAACAGTCATGCCGGCCACAATCCTGGAGCTGCTCTCGAAGGAGATGACAATTGGGAAGACGAGGATGATTTTGACCTTGACCCACGCTCGCTACCATCTCAAAGTCCTCTGATATCGCGATCTCAAGCACAACCGACACGGAGACCGCTCGGAACAGTCCGCACAAGCAAAGAAAGCCAGTTGACCACCCCCGCTTCAACCGAACAACTCAGAATCTCTCCACCACAGCAGCGACAGTCTGATCTCGAGAATGACTCAGGCCCGCTTCACGAGTCGCAGCTCTCTCACCTGTCCAAGCACGAGCGTCCCGTCCCTCTGCCAAAGCAAGATGCCAAAAAAGGTTCACCCATCCTCGCTACGCAACTCTCAGGCTCCCCACCCTCTACATCGGACAGGCCACCACCCCTGCAAAGGAAGTATTCGCCAATTCCTGGCTTCAACAACGACACACAGTCAAACTTCACACAGAATGGACATGTCTCAGCGGCTTATGTTCATCGACAGCGGGAGGCCGGGTTGTATCCGATGTGGTTTGTTCCTAAGCCGTATCAAGTTCCGGGGTTTACGCGTCGCTAGCGAACAGAGAATGGAATGAACAGCGATCTCATAACATGCATTTAATTAGGGTT